ACGGACGTCTTATCAGCTCCTATCCCTCTAATTCGTCAACCAAAACCGACAGGTTACATTGGCGCATCTGCTCCAAAGCCGAATGCTGCTCGCAAATTACCCGATCGTTATTGTGGTGGTGGCCAATCTGCTGTTTCGAATTCTTCACAGAAATACGACATCCTACAGCGTATTTCAAAACTTTCATTAGAAAAGGAGCAAATAAAGAAAGATTTCTCTTCGCAACAACAAATACAGAACGGTACTTTCATAAGAATTTTTAACCTAATAAAATCACCAATTTTAGAATCCTTAGAAGCTGTCGACGACAATTTACCTACCCAACAATCTGTAAAAGAAGAATCCACAATTATTTCAGAAGAGACGGGCGAGGTTACCGCAACCGATTTTCAATCAGGGATAGTTCCCTCAACTACTGTTCAACAACAAGTTCAAAATTCACCACAGCAAACAATAACCTCGATTGCATTTCATCAATCGACAGAGGCAGAACTTGTAGGAGATCTTCAAAATCTACAACAATTTTCAATTCCTCTAAATGCGCCGCCTCCTACTTTAGAACATCAGCATTTACAGCAGATGCAACAAACATTCCAAATGCCCCCACATGTTTCATCGATTCTAGGACATCCCAAACAAAATTGCACACAACTACAAATTCTGAAAAAATTGGATCAACGTCAAGATCAACAAGGAATATATCAAATTCCGCAATCCCATCAGTTGGAAGGTACATATTATTCTATATCGAACATATAATTTTACTTTTTTTACTCACCTCTTTTTTCCTGTTTCCTTGTCCATTTTGAGTTTCTTTTTTTTTGCTTGATATAATTTATCATATATCATTCAAAAAGAGCTCTTCTTTCAGACTCGAAGGAGTATTACCTAAAATTGTATTGTACCCATTTTTATTCTTTTACAAAACATAATTTAATTTTAGCGCCGTTTCATATGAATGTCAACAGTCAATCTGCTCCTGTTCCAAATACTACGATTCCCCTTCATTTCAACCAACCTCCTCCGCAAATTCCACCCCAAAATATGCCAAATTTCCACCAGCAGCAACAACAGAGACCACCAACCGGACATGTACCTGTTTCGCATTTCGAACAACATCAGCAGAGAGATGTTGTGAGCGTTGGTGTTTGGGGTGAAAATCCTCAGCCGATAGCTCGGAATGACGAACACAGTCATTTTGTTCAGCGCCAACAGCAAACATCTCAACAAAGTTGTGAAAACAGTGGACGTGTTATTGAATCCTTTGGAGGGGTTAGTGGGGAATTGGAACATAGTCAAACGATTGGAAGATGGTTTTTTTTTTCTTTGATTTTAACTTTACTTTTTTTTAATATTAAAAGGTTTCAACCTCCGACATCTCAGCCATCTTATAACCAATTTGGTGTTCAACAGAATGTTCAACAAAATACTACCACCGGATTTCGGAATGGCGATTGTCCACCATCTTTACTCTCACTTGATTTTAAAGGATCATTTAATGATTATGATCAGGATGTTATTGGTTTCCGTCATCCCACCAACAAAAATATGCAGTTTGGTTTGTCCGAGTCACAACGAAATGGTTCAATCTTTTTTTATTTTTTAATAAATTTTTTAAAATTTAGAACAACCAAATCGAGTTATTGAAAACTCTTCATATTCAAATCGGCAGAACAGGAACGTTGAACATCCTCGTATTCAATTGTTTAAACATACGAGTGAATCTTTGCATGAATCTGAGGAAGCTGTTTCTCCTTTCCAAAAATATTTTGAGCCTATTGACAGCGATTTAAAACAAAATGACAGAGCTGCTCCTCATGGCAAAAGAGGCAAAAAAGTAGATGATCGACAAATTCGAGATAACCGCAGAAAGAAGTATTTATATTCAACGTTTTATCTTAAATTTTATTCTTATAGTTCAAGAGCAAAGCAAAAAGGTTCAAAAACATCAAATTCAACTTCTAGTACGCATTCTGATACTAATACTTCGACTCGACAACCTTCCCATTTTCAACAAGTTTTTTATAATTCGGGGAAGACGAAACAAAAAGGATCAAAAACTTCAACTTATAACAAATCAAGACAACAACCATCACACAATATTAGCGATTCCATTTCAAAAGGTGATGGTCGAAAATTACCCGATCGTTATTTCGGTGGCGACCAATCTAATGTTTCGAATTCTTCGCAGAAATACGACAACTTACAACTTAATGCAAACCTTTCAGTAGAAAGTGACCAAGCAAAGAAAGCTTCCCCTCCACATCAACAATTACAAACCAGTATTTTAAAAATTTTTAATTTTTTTTAATCGTCAATTTAAGAATCATTCGAAACTGCTGATGATTGTTTCATAAAGCAACAAGTTGTAAAAGACGAACCTGTAGTTCCAGGATTGGTCGGTGATGTTACTCCTGCCGGTTTTCAGTCTGAAATATGTCCATCAACTACTGTTCAGCAGCAACGACAAGAGGTTTATCAAAATTTGGCACAACTACAACAACCAATAACTTCTGTTGCATTTCATCAATCGGCTCAGTCAGTTATTGTCGGAGGTTTTCAGCAGCCGCAACAATATACAATTCCTCCTCTAAGTGCGCCGCCTCCTACTTTAGAGCATCACTATTTACAACAGATACAGCAAACATTCCAGTTGCCCCCACACAATCATCAAGTTTCTGCTGCTCTAGGCCAACCACAGCAATATTGTCCGCAACCTCAAATTTATCAGATTCCACCATCAATGCAAATGGAAAGTATGTTTGAAAATATTATTTTTATTTATTTTTTTCTTTTTTTAAATCTTATAATGAATTTAATTTTAGCGCCGTTTCATATGAATGTCAACAGTCAATCTGCTCCTGTTCCAAATACTACGATTCCCCTTCATTTCAACCAACCTCCTCCACAGATCCCACCACAAAATATGCCAAATTTTCAACAACAGAGACCACCAACCGGACATGTACCTGTTTCGCATTTCGAACAACATCAAAGAGACGTTGTGAGCGTTGGCGTTTGGGGTGAAAATCCTCAGCCGATAGCTCGGAATGACGAACACAGTCATTTTGTTCAGCGCCAACAGCAAACATCTCAACAAAGTTGTGAAAACAGTGGACGTGTTATTGAATCCTTTGGAGGGGTTAGTGGGGAATTGGAACATAGTCAAACGATTGGAAGATGGTTTTTTTTTTCTTTGATTTTAACTTTACTTTTTTTTAATATTAAAAGGTTTCAACCTCCGACATCTCAGCCATCTTATAACCAATTTGGTGTTCAACAGAATGTTCAACAAAATACTACCACCGGATTTCGGAATGGCGATTGTCCACCATCTTTACTCTCACTTGATTTTAAAGGATCATTTAATGATTATGATCAGGATGTTATTGGTTTCCGTCATCCCACCAACAAAAATATGCAGTTTGGTTTGTCCGAGTCACAACGAAATGGTTCAATCTTTTTTTATTTTTTAATAAATTTTTTAAAATTTAGAACAACCAAATCGAGTTATTGAAAACTCTTCATATTCAAATCGGCAGAACAGGAACGTTGAACATCCTCGTATTCAATTGTTTAAACATACGAGTGAATCTTTGCATGAATCTGAGGAAGCTGTTTCTCCTTTCCAAAAATATTTTGAGCCTATTGACAGCGATTTAAAACAAAATGACAGAGCTGCTCCTCATGGCAAAAGAGGCAAAAAAGTAGATGATCGACAAATTCGAGATAACCGCAGAAAGAAGTATTTATATTCAACGTTTTATCTTAAATTTTATTCTTATAGTTCAAGAGCAAAGCAAAAAGGTTCAAAAACATCAAATTCAACTTCTAGTACGCATTCTGATACTAATACTTCGACTCGACAACCTTCCCATTTTCAACAAGTTTTTTATAATTCGGGGAAGACGAAACAAAAAGGATCAAAAACTTCAACTTATAACAAATCAAGACAACAACCATCACACAATATTAGCGATTCCATTTCAAAAGGTGATGGTCGAAAATTACCCGATCGTTATTTCGGTGGCGACCAATCTAATGTTTCGAATTCTTCGCAGAAATACGACAACTTACAACTTAATGCAAACCTTTCAGTAGAAAGTGACCAAGCAAAGAAAGCTTCCCCTCCACATCAACAATTACAAACCAGTATTTTAAAAATTTTTAATTTTTTTTAATCGTCAATTTAAGAATCATTCGAAACTGCTGATGATTGTTTCATAAAGCAACAAGTTGTAAAAGACGAACCTGTAGTTCCAGGATTGGTCGGTGATGTTACTCCTGCCGGTTTTCAGTCTGAAATATGTCCATCAACTACTGTTCAGCAGCAACGACAAGAGGTTTATCAAAATTTGGCACAACTACAACAACCAATAACTTCTGTTGCATTTCATCAATCGGCTCAGTCAGTTATTGTCGGAGGTTTTCAGCAGCCGCAACAATATACAATTCCTCCTCTAAGTGCGCCGCCTCCTACTTTAGAGCATCACTATTTACAACAGATACAGCAAACATTCCAGTTGCCCCCACACAATCATCAAGTTTCTGCTGCTCTAGGCCAACCACAGCAATATTGTCCGCAACCTCAAATTTATCAGATTCCACCATCAATGCAAATGGAAAGTATGTTTGAAAATATTATTTTTATTTATTTTTTTCTTTTTTTAAATCTTATAATGAATTTAATTTTAGCGCCGTTTCATATGAATGTCAACAGTCAATCTGCTCCTGTTCCAAATACTACGATTCCCCTTCATTTCAACCAACCTCCTCCACAGATCCCACCACAAAATATGCCAAATTTTCAACAACAGAGACCACCAACCGGACATGTACCTGTTTCGCATTTCGAACAACATCAAAGAGACGTTGTGAGCGTTGGCGTTTGGGGTGAAAATCCTCAGCCGATAGCTCGTAATGACGAACACAGTCATTTTGTTCAGCGCCAGCAGCAGACATCTCAACAAAGTTGTGAAAACAGTGGACGAGTTATTGAATCTTTTGGAGGAGTTAGTGGGGAATTGGAACAAAATCAATCAATTGGAAGATGGTATTTTTTTTGGCATTTAATTTTTTTAATATCAAAAGGTTTCAACCTCCGACGTCTCAGCCATCGTATAATCAATTTGGCGTTCAACAGAATGTTCAACAAAATAGCACAACCGGATTTCGGAATGGCGATTGCCCACCATCTTTACTCTCACTTGATTTTAAAGGATCATTTAATGATTATGACCAGGATGTTATTGGTTTCCGTCATCCCACCAACAAAAATATGCAGTTCGGTTTGTCCGAGACACAACGAAATGGTTCAATCTTTTTGTTTTTTTTAAATAATTTTTTAAAAATTTAGAACAACCAAATCGCGTTATTGAAAACTCTTCGTATGCAACGCAAAATCGTCAGAACAGAAACGTTGAACATCCTCGTATTCAATTGTTTAAACATACGAGTGAATCTTTACATGAATCGGAGGAAGCCGTTTCTCCTTTTCAAAAATATTTTGAGCCTATTGACGGCGATTTAAAACAAAATGACAGAGCTCCTGCTGCTCCTCATGGCAAAAGAGGCAAGAAAGTAGATGATCGACAAATTCGGGAATACTTAAATCGCAAAAAACCGTAATTTAAATTAATTTTCTTTTTTAATTTCAATTTTTCAAGTTCTGGAAAGCCAAAGCAAAAGGGATCAAAAGCTTCAAATTCTACTTCTAGCACCCATTCGGAAACTACCACTTCAACATCTCGACAAGCTCCTCCTTTTCAACAACTTCCTGCCCCGCCTCCCACTTTCAATATTTGGGCAAATCTCTTTTAAGAAAAATACTATTTAAATTTAAAAAAACATAAATAAGTAAATATATGTATTTGTTTATTATATTTTGACAGATTGTCAATATTTCATCCCTCTTACAATTTTTCATGCAGCATTTTACTGTTGCGCAATATATAAATGGGATTTTTGAATAAATTTTCTGACTCTTAATATTTAATTTTTAAATAATTTTGATTAAAATTCAATCACTTGAATTTATTTATAATACTTTTAATTATGCGGTGGTATTTAATACATATGTTGTTTCTAATTATGCATAGTATGTTTACCAAACCTTTCCAAAGACAAACATTTTCTATTGGGTTGATTTCAGTGGCCTATAAATTACAAGTCTCTAATTGTTTTAAATTTCTTGCGCCTTGGACGTCTAAAAATTTTATTTAGTCTCGTTTATAGTTCTACCATTCGTTAATATTTTTATTTTGCCATTGAATTATAATGTTTTCGACTGTGACAAAGGTTTTTACATAACATTATTGAGATATTTTTTAAAATATTAGCCTGGTGTAATTACTTGCAAACTTGAATGGAAAATATTTGATTTTGTGAAGCTTAAAGAGATAATGAGAAGTGGTCAATGCTTAACGAGTGAGTTTAAAAAAATTTTTGTACAAAATAGTTTTTAAGGTAAACCATTATATGATCCAAAATCTCCCTCAGCTGTGATTGAGTTACGTATTTATCCAAACTCTTTTGTTCCTAGTAGTCCTAGAGGTATTTTAATCTAAAGTATCTAATTTAATAATCTATATTTACATGTGTTTATTTATCGGTCATTAATGTTGGTTGTAAAGCTATTACTCGAAAAGCAAAAATTTGTATAGATACTTTTGTGGGCCGTAAGCGTGAAGATATTTTTTCGTGAGTTGTTTTAAGATAAAGAGTTTGTAATTTAACGAACCATTTTTAAGCTATTCATTTGATCTGGATGGTAAAAGTGAATCGGAAAAACGTTCTATTAACATACTGCCTATTCATTTTAGTGATGATGGTAAATTTTAATTGAAATTCCTTAAAAATATTTTTTAGGTTCCATTATGCTTTATTGTGAGGCTAATTTCTTGCCTTATTCTAATAACAGGGAACCTGATAATAGTGGATTTAGTAAAGGTGATCAAGCAACTCTTAATAATACCTCACAAAAATTGCTTAATAATATGCTTGAACAAGGAACACTTTCTGGGCCCGTAGAATAAATTCGGGGTTGGATAACCCGGTTAAACAACCCAGGGGCAAATAACCCTTAGCTTCGGGTTGAAATCGGTAGAATAAATTCAACCCCGAGTTAAGGGTTATTTAACACCGAGCTAAAGGTTATTTAACTAGTTGAGTTACTGGGTTATATGACCCTTTATATTTTATTGTCAAACCCATTTTGCATTAGTTTACGCAATAATTGTTATTATTAAAAAGAGATATAGTCAAATGAAAAAGTTTAAAAAATTAATAAAAATTTTTAATTGTAGAATAAATTTTGTTTCAAAATTTTTTGTAGAAGTTTTTGTTAAAAAATTTTTGTTACAAAATTAAAAAAATGTTTGTTAAAAAATTTTTTCTATGCGTTTTGAATAGAAATTAAAATTTTTAAAAATTTTGCAATTTAATAAACGTTTTAATTTTTTGGAAATTATGCATAATTCGCATGTTACCCTGCCCCCTAGTAGGGTTGCAATTTGCCCCTTACCTGCGGGTTATTTAACCCGGGTAATTAATTTATTCTACCGGGAAGGTTACGCGGGTCAGATAACCGGGTTATCTGACCCGGTCATTTAACCCGAAGCTAGGGGTTTGAATTTATTCTGCGGGTTACGGGTTATTTAACCCCAAGGTAGGGGTTAAATACCCCTTACCCCGAATTTATTCTACGGGCCCTGATTGTTTAATTAAAGTAGGTAGATTAATTTACAAAATAATTTTTAATTAAAATTTTAGATTGGAAAAGAAACCATAAACGTTCATCGATGCATTTTGGCACAAAATAGTAAAGTATTCCTTAGAATGTTTGAACAAAAGGATATGACTGAAGCACAAAATGTAAGCCTTGGAATGTGAAATGGTTAAATTTACTTAAATTTAGGGTGAAATAAAAATTGTTGATTCTTCTCCCGAATGTTTTCGTGCCATGATTGAATATTTCTACAATGGTGAAATTGCAGAAAGTATTTTATTTTTTTAAGTTAAAATTTTTTTAAATTTAAATTCAGATACTTTTGAAAAACTTGTCGATGATTTGTTTGTTATTTCTCACAAATATGAAGTTTTAAAATTGATGGATAAATGTGAAAATTTTATGGCCTTAAATATTGGTAAGAAAGAATATTTTTTATTTACTTAATTTGATTTTCTTTATATTTTTCCATAACGACGAAATTAGGGTTACCGTTTTTGGTTAAATTTTCCCTCCAGAATATCTAATTTATATTCTGTTTTGAGGAAATATTTTGGACACTAGGCGAAAATTTCTTAAATTCATTTTTATGTAACTAAAAACTTTTTTTATTTTTAAGATAATGGTAATTTTAGCAAACGTTGCCATTATGCCGAATTGTATAATCTTTCGTTACTCAAAAATGTAAAGTCTAACATTATTTTCAAAAATTTCTTTTATTTTTTAGTCCTGTATTAAATACATTTCTGTTAAGCGAGACAGCTTTTTAGTTAGTAATGAATGGAAGGAATTAAAGAAAATAAAAGTGCATTGGCTGTTAACTTGCTTGAATCAGCTTTGAAACAAAAGTTTTTTTGAATGATCTTAAAAAATTCCAAATTTCAAGTTCTGCTACAGTCGAATCACGCTAATACGTTCCTGATACCCTTAACATTTACCACACTGACAATACGACAATTCAGTTCATACGTCAGACAATTCGGCCCTGAAGGCGACGTATTAGCGGGATTCCACTATATTTGTGTCATAAAGATTTTTTCATTTTATAGAACTATAATTCTGCTTATTTCGGCTACTCTCCTTCTCTTATTTTTTGCAGCTGGCTTTAAAAACCTAGAAACAATTCAATGTTTATTTTATTCTTTTTTTATTAAGGCATTTAATTTTTAAAACGTTTATTTTTTAATTTATTAAATATTTTTTAGACCCCAGAATTTCTTACTTAAAATTAAGAAGTCCAAAAATTAACACATTTATCAACATTTATTTTGCAAAAAATTACTGGGATAATAAGGGAAATAAAGAGTATATTTTTTTATATTTAACAGGGAAAAGAAAATGTTTATTTTAATTATTTACCCACAGAGAGAGATCGTTTCCTATTATATATCGCCTCGCAGAATTTATTTATACTTTTTGAGCAACTCCTTAGCTTCTTTCACATCTGAATCCTCTTCACAATCACTTGATTTAGTTTTCTCTCCAATCTAAAATTTTTTATTTTTTAGATTTGAAATTAAGAAAATCCAAATTCTCTGGGGATACTGAAAGATTCGGTTCCTTAAACAAAAAACAGCAGCCCGATATTCCTTGAGATCCCATGTAAAAAAATTAATTAAAAACCTCGACAGCCATTTTCAGATATTTAATCGCCTCCTTCTTTTCATTCTTTGCCAAATAGCATTTACCCAAAAATACCAGATTCTCAACCCATTCAGGTTTCAATTTATATACGGCAAGAAAGTCGTTGAGCGCCTCATCATATGTTGCTTTTGGTGGATCAGAGAAAAGCGCCGCTGCCGCCTTCCTTTCAAACCATGAGAGTCCAGCAACAGAATAGGCAAAACGACCGCGCATGTAAAGAAGCTGAATAATAAAAATATTTTAAACAACAAAATTTGACAGAAATGGGGGTTGATAAGGATAATTTTAGGTGATAAAATCTCGAAAAAAAACAAACGAACGATCTTTAATTTAGTCGTTTAAAAACATTCTTGATTAATTCTCCAAAGAGGAAACTTAAAAACTGGACCCAACATCAATTCCAAATTAATATAAAATTACCGCATAATCCTTCGGGCTTTTTGCGAGCGCCTTATCGATTAATTCCTAAAAATTATTAATTAAAATTTTAGATATAATTCAGAATACTTTGAACTTATGGCCTTGTTTAATCTTCTCTGCCGTTCCAAGAAAATCCGTTCTACCCCCAGTACAAGCAGCATACCATTTGATGACATCGAATTCCTCCGGTTCTTTTTCATAGGCAATACCAGCATGTTTATAACCTTAAAATTTGAAAAATATTTTTTCAATCGTTTCAATATTTAAAAAAGAATAGTTAAAATACCCCAAATCTAGATTGAAAAGTGACGGGATTAAATGGACAATTCAAGAAATGTTTAGAAATACTAACATGTTTGTTTCCCATACGTTGAGCTTTTTTAATTAAAAATAGGGATGGGGGTCCGGTCCAAAAGGATCTGAGGATAAGGAGAGAATTTGAACTCCAGGCCAAAGAATTTAAACTCTAGGGCATCGATATCGGCCCGAAAGACTCGGTAGGGCTGGCCGGATAAAAAAGACTTGAACGTCTGCCCGAACATCAGCCTCCCCAACCTAATTAAAAACCAAACCTTCATCCATATATTCCTTCCTCTTTGCACTTTGATCATCGAACGAAGAGGCCAATTGGTAACAAACTCGAGAGAGTCGCCAAAGAATTTGAACTCCATTCTGGTCTCCAACTTCCTTATTCAACTTAAAATTTATTAATTAAATTAATCTAAAATATAAAAATACTTTCACAAGTTCCCCATAAAGTTCATCAGACAGACCATCCTCGTAGAGTTTGTCAAGACGCTCAAACTAAAATTAAAGAAAAAAATTTTTTGGAATTTTGAATCGGAGAGGTTTTCATTTGAATTTTTAAAAAGCATACCATTATTTATTTTTAAATATTTTAAAAAATTAAGGGAAAATATTTTAATTATTTTTAATTATTGATGAGACAAATCAACACTTAATGTGTATAATTCAATAGAAAGTTAGTATAAATTTAAGAAAAAATATCGTTAATTGTATTTTATAAACATTAAAAGAAAAAAGTCATTCAAAAGGTTCCAGTATGAACGAAGGAAAGAAAATGACTGAAAATTCTAGAAAATTAAGTGATGAAGAAAGGGAGAATGAATAGAAGGAAAGTTATTGATAGAGCAGCTGACAATGAAAAAAGGAAAGAAAATGTCACATAAAATATATTTTACCTTCCTTTCTAACAATCAAGTACTTTCTAATAAAATTATGATGGAATTTTTAAATTAAATTTTAAAAAATAATTTGAGGACCACCCAAAAACTCCCAAGAATTGACGTGGTAGAAAGAAAAAAATTCAAAAGATTAACTCACACTAGGCGATTTATTGGCCATTCTTACTGTTGAACAATTATTTTCGGGTAGTTGATTCCTTGTTTCTGCTTCCACAAATCTTTAAATAAAATTAATTTTATTTAAAAAATTAAAATTCCCTCCACCTATCAAGCGATTTACTTTCTATAGATCGATTCTCCTCCCAAGTTTGTTCGACAGCGTCTTGATATTCGCTGTCTGATACAGTACTGGAAGCTTGGATTGCTTTTAAGGAACGTCGAATGGAACTTAGAGATGCTCTTAAAAGAAGAAAAAAATATTTAAAATTTAAAGTAAAGGAATTAAAGAATTAATTTTTGATAGAATGAAACGAAATGAGCAATTAAAAATTATTTAAATAACAAACTTAATCTACAAAAGTGTCTAACCTTAAAGATAAAAAAGAGATCAGACAAGATAGAGACAACGTTAAAAATGAGAGAATATAGACAAATAGATTAATTATTTTAGACTACTTGAGTATAGAAATTTAAATCAAATCAAATTTAAACGCACCAGCGGGACGTCAGACAATAATAAAATGATAAAATATATAAAATAAACGTAAACAAATGATTTCCTTAACATAAAACTTAAAAATTGCCAAAATGTCTTTTACTGTGATTTGGGAAGGAGTCAATAAACTTAGAATATCAAGTAGAGATCGGAACGGGATCGGGACCCGGTCCTTTTTCCCGGCTTTTTTGAAGATGCCGAGATGAAACCGGGATCGCGAATTCCCGGTTTTCCCGGTCCGGGTCCCTCCCGGTCGACCTTCAGAACCCGTTTCCTGGTCCCGGTTTTTTCAAAATTCCGATCTCTAATATCAAGTGGCTAGAAATCGACTAAAATGATCGGGGGTTGAATTGCGCATATGTGGGGAAGGGGGGGGGGAATAAATTTATATAACCGAGCAGTCCTAACGAGAAAGGAGTGAAATTATTTAAAATTCTAAAAATATGAATAACTACATTAAATATAAACTTGGATTAATCATTTTTCTTTTATAAATGCTTTACACAGATTAAAATAAAAACTGCTCACTTTAAAGAAGCAATTTCTCTTTTCTTTTCCATTTCCATTCTTAAAATAACATTTCCAATGTTTTTGTATTTTCTATATAAATGGATAAAAAGGCCTGTATTTAATGCTGTTAATGCTCCAATAATAATTATCCCTGTGGTTGTTGTTAATGAACTTTTTGATGACCCGCAATCTGACATTTATTTTTTTTGTTTTTAATAAATAAAAAGTGAAAATTCTCTTAAAAATTAAATTTTTAAAAATTATTTTTTAAAGAAAAAGCCAAAAATAAGAGAATGGTTTTGTGGGGGTAAATAAGGGCAAAAAAGATGCATGAAAAGGCAAAATTTATTTATTTGAGAATCGATTGCCGATGAAGGACACTAACTGCTGTGCGATGTTGTTTACATATTTTTTGTATTTAGTAGTTATGAATTATTAGAATGTTTTTTTATCTAAAGATTAAATTATTATTTAAATCGCCTAATTAGTATTAGGATGTGTCAATTAATTAAATATTCATTAAATACAGGGTGGTCTTTACAAAACACCAAAAAGGGGCATGACCTCTCAAAAAGGAGCAAAAATGTGGCAATGTTGAAAAAAGGGGCGGGGAGGTCAAAAAAGGGGGAAACCCCTAAAAGGCAAAGGGGCTGATTAAATATGTAAAAAAACATGTATTGCCGATAATAAATTTTATAACTGATCCAAGGTGGAAGAAATTTGTTTTAAATAAAATAATTAGTGGAAGGGTTGAGATTTTACCTGTTGGTTATAGTTATGAATGTAGCCAGTGTCCATTACCATCTTTCCTGCCAATTACAGTTAACTATTATTTTTAGCATTCCAATCCCCTTGTAACGGATATAATAAAATTTTCTTTTAAAAAATAGTAAAATATTAAATATGTATTTTGTAATAATTTCTATTTTTATCCTCAATTTTATCCAAGTTTTAATATTAAAATATTTTTTGAAGATGTCAGTTTCCATGACGATAAATTGAATGTACGGAAATGTTTTGAAACTTGAGAGATTCTGGAATATGAAAATAAAAGGAGAGTGAGGATTGTGAAAGGAGGAGAGAGGGGGGGGGGTTATTTTGAAAGAACAGTAAAATGTTGGGAAGAGATTAAAGTTAGTATATGCTTAAGACATTTTAAATAAATAATTATTTTTAAGAATATTTTTTTTATTATGTTTATTTATATATTTGAAAAGATTGCTTGAAAATTATTTGAATGCTTAAACAGAAAATAAATTCTTTTGTTTTTGTCGTAATTACAGTAGGTGAGGATGATTTAATTATAAAGTTAAGGCCCTTAAATTTTGGAAATTCAATTATCTAAGAAGAGAAGGATTTACCAAAATTTGTTTACGCTTAAGTAAATGGCTTAATAATTAAAATCTAATCTCTCGATATAAAGGCGGAATATAATATTATAGTAGTTTTCGGCATGGGTACCTCTACTTTAGGAATATTTCACCTTTAAAAGGAAAATCATGTCATCTTTTTGGAACATCAAACTGAACCAAAATTCGTATTTGTACCTTTGTACGAGCAATTGTTAGTTTCTTTGTTAGTGTCCTCCTTTTCTCGACCATTGAAAAAATTGTACCATCAAAATTATTAAGTAACTTTACCCTTATGTTTCCCCTGTCGCTAATTACGAGAGATTTATTTTAAATATTTTAAACAAAAATTTTTAATCACAGTTCTATTTTTGTCTTCCTTTCTATTGCTTGTGTCACCAATTGAAAATAATATTCAATTATTCGAAAGTTCTTGTGAATTTTCTTGTATTCATGGATATTGTGATGAAAGAAAAGGGTGCTTAATGATTTAAGAAAAATATTTAAATAATTTAAAGTTTATGTGTTTGTTCTCCCGGTTGGTTAGGTGCTGGATGTGAACTTTGTGTTTTGGGAATGGAATGTGAGACAACAGAACCCCAACTTTCTTTAATTTTACCTCAAGCAGGGCCTTTAAATTTTGGAAATTTAAGTATCAAAGAAGGGGAGGATTTATCTAAATTTGTCTACGCTTATGGAAATGACTTTCCAAAGTCTTTTTTTTAGAAAAAATATTTTTATGAAATTTTATGTTCCTTTAGAGTAAACTATTCTTGCATTTTTGGTTCAACAATTTCTGTCAGAGGTCAATGGATAAGTACTTCCCTTATACGTTGTGAATATCCAAAAAATATTTTAATTGGACCTTCTAAATTAACTTTTGGATTAATTCCTTTAGATTCCAAACAGTTTGTTGCGAATAATTTAGATTGGCCGACGGTAAAGTTTTAGATTGTTTAAAGGTTGTTAAGAACATTTGGCTATTTTTTGATGGGGAGGGGGGGGGTTGAATTATGATGGGTTTGTGATGTTTTTAATTTATTTAAATAATTTTACAAAATTTGTTTATTTTATTAAAAGCAATCTGCTAATAATCAAAATTAGCGGTCATTAAGTTCTAAAATTTATGGACAATTTTGTGAATTATTAGATGAAATTTATCATACATATTTATCATCTAATTAATTTTTCAAATTTTTCTTTTTAATTTTTCCAGACTCATTTTACATTTTTCTCTAATAATTGTTCACCTTCTTGCAAAGGCCATTGTTTAGGACCTCTTTGTTTATGTCCATTTAATAGGACAGGTCTTCAATGTGATCAACCATTTAATAAATTAACATTAAATAATACTTCAATATTACAAAAATTTAATGGAAATATTGCGGAAGAATTTATTGAATTTATTCCCTATATTTTTAAATTACCTGTTGAGGTAATAAAAATTAAATAAAAAGTATTTTTTAAATTAAATTATAATATTAGATTAACCCTTCAATTACACGTCTCTCTTTAGAATCTGATATAGAAGGGGGTGGTGGTGGATTAAAATTAGATCCATTTCAAGAACAAATTTATTGGTCTAGGTATAATTAAAAATATTTTTTAAAATTAATTTCCAAAAAAGTCCATTGGGTCGAAGCAAGCCCTATTCAATTTCTTTGAAAATAGAAAATGACGGAGAGGATCATGAGTTAATTAATTGGACTATTAAAGTTAATCCAAGCTACTCAGCTGAATTAGAAAGAAGTTTAACATTAGTGAATCAAACAAATGGGAGGGAATTGAGTGGAAAAATAAAATGGGGTAAAAATATTAAAATTAAAAATGTGTTAATAATTGGACCTCTATTTTGTAGACACTTTTAAACCTTTGTATTTAATATTTCAACCCTTGTTATTAGCGTTCTCGTTAATAACTACTATATTTATTCTTTTAATAGTTAGGGTGTTTGATTGGTAGTGAGATTTCGTTTACTTGATGGATACCTAGATAGAGGAGGCCACTTATTCACATAAATATTAAAATTTACCTATAATAAACCATTTCTAAATTTTAATAGAAAGTATTTCTAATAAAAAGCCGCCTTTTGCATTTAATTCAAGTCTTCCCTTGCTTGTTCATATTTATGCCACCGATTCTGCTAGACCCGTTCCTCTTGAAGATTTGCCAATTTGGACAGGGCGATCTAGTAGAAGGGATGATGAAGAGGGTGATGGTGGTTTTTGTTGCTTCAGACGGTTGCTTTACCCTTATTTGGGCACTGCAGAGAAAATAGCTATCGTTAGTTATTAATCTTATGTAGAATAAGCAGGGATATTTGGGAGTTAAATACAAGAGATAATTTAAGTGAAAATAATGACTAAAATATTCTTATTCAAAACCCCCCAGTTATCCACAACTCTAGATTCTTCCACACTCAAAATAATAATTTAATAAAATCAAGACTGTCAGACATCCAGGCTCTGATTTGGAAGAACATTTACATAGTCGTGATCTTCACGATGAGACAGATGCTCTTGAATGGACACAAGAACGTGTAGAAATAACTGATTATTTAAACGAAGTTCAACCAAAAGAATGGGACCAAAACAACAAAAGTTTAACGTTAAATTACTCTTTAAGACTTTCCCCTTTGGGAGGAGATTGTAAGGATGGATGGCGTTTTGAAGTTCTTGAACCGAGAGAATTTATTTTTATCGTTGAAAATGATAAACTACAAATGTTGCAAGACAAACCTGTTAGTTTTGAAAATATTTTTTGATCATTAAAATTGTCTTTTTGGGTTTTAGTAGAATAAACCGGAAAACTGGATTTGAAAAAGACAAGGGAGGGAATCATTTCTTATAGAATAATTTTATTAACTCAAAAGTTGAATTGTTTCTACATGCTTTAAGCACTCTATTCCCTCTCAATTTATCGAAAACTTTAAATTGCTTATTATATTATTTTATAGGGAACATATCTTGTAAAACTTAAATTCCAAACATTTGTCGATGTGGAAATTTCTGAAGAGAATAATGTTCGAATACCGTTACGTGTTGTATTTATGTGTATGCCTACTGGACAAAGCCTTACTATAGAGTAATTTTTGAATTAAATTTAAATTGTTAATGACGGTCCTCCCTAGATATATCCAACTCCCCATAAACATATCAGTTGTTTATAAACTCCGAAATTTATTTTCGGGATTAACTTTAATGAAGAAAACTTTTTCAGACAAGCACTCGTTGGTTTAATATTTCCTGGAAAGGAGGAAATCAAAGCAATTACTGGAGCTAAATTAAATCCAAAGCGTTTATTTGTTGATTTAAACAAAAATCCATTTAATGTAATTTCGGTAATTATTATTTTTTTATTAAAAAATTATTTTTTAAATTATTTTTTAATTAAGTTAAATATTTATTTACCTAATGATTTATCAAATAAATTACAAAAAGATAATTTAAAAGAAACTGAATATTTTTTACCTTTTACTTTAATTTGGATTAATCGACCTTCTCAAAATAATTGGCGATTTTGGTTAAAATTAAAATCAGAAGAAATTGAAAAATACAAAAATATATTGAATGAAAGTGGGGGAAATATTGATGGGGCTTTTTTAATTAAAGGAAATGAAAATGTATGTAGTTAATTAATTATTAAATTAGTCAGGATATGTAAATAGTACAAGGGGGAAGAATCAATTTATAAAAAATTTTAATTATTATCTTTCATTAAAATCACACCAAATATCTCTTTTTCCTAAATAGCTGTTAGGATTTTCGGTAGCAGTTCACCTTGGTATTATCGAAAATACTGACTCGATATTATTTGGTATTGACCCACACTAGTTCTAAGTCTGATCTTTTATTTTAAGCACAGTCCCCGTCTCTTTGATTTCAACTATGATCTTTCATTTGCGAGAAACGATAACCTTCTCTCTTACTTTAACCTCCATTTAGGAGAATATACATACAGTCGTGGAAAAAAGTATGGAAGCGCTAGAAAATTTTTTCTTAATTCTTAATTTTTCATTCAAAAAATACGTTCTATATACCAATCGAAAGCTCTATTAGTATCTCAGTTGACATGTTTCTGCATTTTTCATGAAAATGAAAATTGGCCGAGATAATCCGGATCTACCGGATATACCAAATCCCATTTTTTCGGAAAAATTTTTCGGAACAAATTTAACAAACCCAAATGATAAAGCATATTTTTCTGAGTATTTTCCACAAAACCGCTTAGAAATATCTTTTTTCGGAGCAGAGATATGATTTTTTGAAAATCGCATTTTTCCCTTAAAAATCGAATTTTTTGCAAAAAATGACCAAAAATACGATTTTCAAAAAATTATATCTCTGTTCCGGACAAAGATATTTCTAAGCGGTTTTGTGGAAAATACTCAGAAAAATATGCTTTATCATTTGGGTTTGTTAAATTTGTTCCGAAAAATTTTTCCGAAAAAATGGGATTTGGTATATCCGGTAGATCCGGATTATCTCGGCCAATTTTCATTTTCATGAAAAATGCAGAAACATGTCAACTGAGATATGAATAGAGCTTTCGATTGGTATATAGAACGTATTTTTTGAATGAAAAATTAAGAATTAAGAAAAAATTTTCTAGCGCTTCCATACTTTTTTCCACGACTGTACTTCTTTTGTCCTTTATTGTAAGTAACCCTATCTTCACGTGTTTTCTCAATTTAAAATTAAATAATTATTTTTTAAAGTTAATTCTGTCAGTTCCATATAGAATTCAACAAAATAATTTAAAACAAGAAAACGACCCTTCTTTATTTTTCTTTACTTTGGTGGTTAAAGGAATTGGTGGAGGCACTAATTCTTTACATTCAACAGATGTTGAATTATTTACTCAAGAACGAGAACAAAATTTTGCAAAAACTCTTCTTTTAAATAGTTTTGGATTTTTTTGAAAATTATTTTTTAATTTCCTTTTTCAGCTCCAGAACAGTTTGGACCTCTTTTTGCTTCCCTCTTTCAATTAAAAATCCGTTCTCGCCACTTCCTTCCATTTACCAAATTAATTAGAATTAATCCATTAGATAATATTTTTATTGTTGAATTAATTCCAAAACCTTCACAATATTTTACTTTTGACGGAAAACAATTTAATTCTGAATGGCAAGGGGTGGAAAGAGTTGAAGATAAAGAGGTGAAAAGAAGTTATTTTTTAAATCATCAAAAATAGGGATTAATAAATCCCTAAACCCTATTAATAAATCCCTAAATCCCAAAAATAGGGATTAACAAAAATAGGGATCTTTTCGAATCTTTTTGCCGATTCGAAAAGAAAATTAGAACACCTTTCTGTTTCCGACCTATTTATTTCTCCGATTCAGTTTGAGGCTCAGGAATTTTTTAGAATAAAAAATAAAAAGAATTAAGCATTACTGGATAATAAAAAATATAGTAAACTCTCATTATAATTAGTATTCGAATCCGGACCGGATCTGGTCCGGAATCCGGGTATTTTGATAAAAACCCGATTTTCCCGAAAATCCGGAAACCGGACCCGGCATTTTTCAAATATCGAATTCTAATTATAATCTCGTTATCCATTTAAATAATTTAATTTTTCTTCTAGACTTCATTATTCTCTCCACCAATTGTTCATTTTCGTCCAGCTGTTTTTACTCCTCAATCTCTCTCCAAATTTGTTGATGTTGTTTATGTCCAAGGATCACCAAACTCTTTTGTTGCTGTCCAGCCTGGATGGAATTCTAATAACCAAATTTTGGATTTTCCAATGTCCAATTTAAATTCAAGTCTTTGTTTGGGATGTGGATTTCGACAATTAATTAATTTAAAACAAATTTCTATTGAAACAAAATGTGATGCAATAATAGTTTCTGTTCCTTTTTGGTCTGCCCAACCTATTGGACATTCTCCAGCAATTTTGAAATTCTCTCAATATTTTTTGTTAACTTCAGAAAATAATAAAATAAATAATGAAGAGGAAGAGGAAGATATTGGAGAGAATGAAGAAGAAGAAAATAATAAAATATTGAATAATGATAATCAACAATTTAAATTCCCCCAAATTTGTAATCAAAAAGAAGATGAAAATGTGGATGGGCGAGGTAATTGAAAAAGTCTTCCAGATTTAAGACTTTCTTGGCTCCTTGACTGAATTTCTTTTTTTCTTTCTGATAAGGATAAAAAACCTTATAGGAGGACAATTCCTTAAAAGTTTTAGAAATTTTAAGAGAATTTCTCTTAAGTGACTCTATCAACAACATTTTTAGGTCTTCTACCATTCGCTTTTCGAACCCATATTTTACAAAATTGTGCATTATCTCATCTTCGCATTTGTCGACAACTCTATAATCCATCAGGCCCTCGTTGCCAAAATTGGTGGAAACAAATACCAGATTCTTTACTTTCAATACATTCTATCGCCCAATTTATTCTTTTATCAGCTAATTGTAATAAAGAAAAGAATAGTCCGAAAGAAATGCTTAAATTAATTAAATGTATTCGAAAAGTTGATTGGAATTGTCCTTTACATCCTATTGAATCAGAAATGGCACCCCACATTGAAGGACAGATTTTTAATCAGGTAAATGACAAAAAAACGATTTATTATCATTGAAACTGGAATTAAATCAACACTTCCTTCTAATTAGTTAGGTTAGGAGTATTAATTATAATGGCTCCCAAGGTTATTCCTAATCAGCAGGGGTGAATCGGAATTCCGATTTCCGAAAATTTAGGCTGATTTCTAACTTCCGCGTTCCGACTTTAGAGTTATTTCCGATTCACCTCTGCTAATCAGTACAAGCAAACTTTATTAGAGTCTTCGTGATGAGTTAAGTTCTAATCAGGTTTGGTGTGCCCAATAGACATGTTGGCATGGTTAAGTGTATGGTAAACTTTTGATAGAGTTTGAAGATTAAATTCTTTAACCGATATATTTATTTCACTCAAGACATATCACATATTTCTCCTATTAATTCCAAAAGAGGCTTTATCAACGATTTTAGAAAAAAAAATTCAAATTCCTAAAATTTACTTTAATAATTTTCTAAAAATAGATTGGCTATACAAAACCTTTCCGTTCCGGACTTGGATTATTATTTCCAGCATTGGGCCTTTTAGAAGCTCAATTATTAAATTTCCCTACACTTTTGGCTGATTTTCTTCAACAATTAAAAGTTTTAAAATTTTAAAAAGATTTTAATTAAAAAAATATTTTTTTAAGAAAATATTCCCTCAAACAATTATTTATTCCCTCACTTCCGAACGTTTTTATAACCAATTTATAACAGCAATAAGTACAAATTCACCTAATGGTTCTATTGTTGATTGGAATGAATTGGATGTTTCTCTTGGAGGTTTTATTTAAATATTTTTAAGAGAAAATATGGCAACATTCTTACTTATTCTATCCTTGAGAGTTGATAGAATTTGGGGAATAAATATTATTACATTATTAATTATTTGTAAATACGGGACTAACTTTTAGTGATGCTCGGGAGAAGAAAAAACCCGGGAATCGGGAAACGGGAGTCGGGAAATGACCTCGGGAGTCGGGATCGGGAGTCGGGAATTAGCAATAAAAAATTTTCCAAAAATTTCAAAAATTTTTGGCGCCTTCGGCGCCAAAAATTCCAATTTTTTGCACCATAGGCAAAAATATTGAAAATTTTGGAATGTAAAGAAGACTTACTAGCGCCGCAGGCGAAAATTTTGAGAATTTTTAGGTTAAGAAGTCAGATTTCTTCCATTTTTTGCGCCGCAGCCAAAAATTTTGACTCTCGGAGTGAAATAGAAAGGGGTCTTGAACGATCTTTAAGGGTAACTTAAGAGTTTATTTCCCCGATTATTTGGAAAGATAAGCCAACAGCCTTTCCAAAAAACCTTGTAACCGCAGAGATAATCAGTGTTGGGTATTGCTGGGGGCTTTTTCTTTGAGCCAGAGCCCAGCTTTGATTTATATTTGTTGTCATTGACCTTAAGTCCTTAGAATCTCTCCATTGGAGTGAAATAGAGGAAAAGTGAGTAGTAAGTCCCCCACAAATGTATCACTTGAGGGGTCCATTGAAAAAGCCTGTGCCTGAGGTGCGGTATTTTTTCTTTGAAGATGCCGCCAAATCCGTGCCTAGAGGGCACTTTTTTGCGCGAAAAGTTAATTTTTGGCGCAAAACCCCTCCCTTTGGGAGGGGTTTGGATTAATTTTGCGCGAAAAAACAATGTTTTGGCGCAAAACCCCTCTTTTTTCGGGAGGGGTTTATAATTTTTGGGGGTGCCAAAAAATTTACCGCACTCAGGCACAGGCTTTTTTAATGGACCCCTCGAGTGATACATTTGTGGGGATAAAAAAATTATTTAAAATCCACAGATTCTTCAATTTTCAGCGCCGCAGGCGAAAATTTTGGTAATTTTAGAAGACCAAGAGGCCAGATTTCTTCATTTTTTTAAATGAAAATATAATTTTGTCAGAAAAATCCATTCTTAGGGGTGTAAAAATTTCCCGACTTAGTCGGGAATTGACACCGGGAGTCGGGATCGGGATCGGGAGGCCAAAAACTCGGGAAATTTTCCCGAGTCGGGAGTCGGGATCGGGATACCCGAGCATCACTACTAACTTTGGTGTGTGGAATAAGTTAAGATTACAGGGGAAGTTTTAAAAAATAAAACAAATCAGGAAAAGATAATAAGTCTTGAATTCTCGGAAATATACAATGTAAACTAATAAATTACAACCAAAATTTATATTATTATTTAATATTTCGAAACAAAAGTGTGTATAATCTACTATTATGTACTAAAATAAATTTTTAGCTTTTTAAAAATTTATTTTAAATAAAAAAATAATTTAATTTACCCAATAGATTTACGTACTTCTTCTGAAGAACTTATTAGACTTTGGAATTATCTAGTACATCTTTTAAATGGGGGGCAATTAAATTTATTAAAAAATGGGACAGAATCTAATTTAATGATAAAAAATTTAAAAGAATTAATTATTCGTTCTGATCGGTTAAAAACTGTTACTAGACAAGTAAATCTTCTAAAAATTAAAAAAGAAAATATTTTTTTTAAGTTTGGAGCAGACAATCCATTTTCATTATTTCGAGATGTTTTAAATAAAATTTTCGAAAATATTTCTTTTAATTCCGACAAAACAAATGTGACGGCTGAAGGGGATATTCAAGAACAAAAAATAGCTTGGGCGGATGTGCAAGTTGAGCCGTTAGAACCGATTGAGGGTTTGGAATTTAGGTAAGAGAAAAACTTAAAAAACAAAACATTTTTTAAATGAATGCCTAAAAATAGAGTTGATCGAACCGGGCATAGAATTTTGGCCCGAAAAAGACTTGACCGGTCCGGTCCGAAAAAAATGACCCGAACGTCGGCCCGGTTTGAAAAATCCAACCCTAACCATAAATTATCAAAATATTTTTTAATGCTTGAATAATTATGTACCTAAGATCAGCCTTTCAATGGAAAGATTAATTAATGGAAGAGATTATCTGTTCTAATTTCAGAAACTTAAATTCTGAAATTTTTAATTCAAATTTTCGAATTCTAAAAATTCTGAAAATTTAAGAAAATTAAAAGATAGTTTTGTTTATTACATAAGCATTACCCTCCTCTAAATTTTATTTCGGTAATTTCCCTATTTTTATTTTAATTATTTATATTTATTTTATTTTTTTAGCATTTCTGTAACTATTCAAGCTCGTCAAGTAAATTAAACTTAATTAAAAACATTTCCTTCTCTTTTTTTCAGTCATTAATTAATAAACTAGAATCAATTCAATTAAATCTTCGATTTGGTCAATCGAATAATTTAAAATTCCGTATTGGACCTATTTTTAATTCAAAAAAAGAGCCAATGAATTTAAGTGCTGGAGAACGTCTTCGAGCTGAATGGACTGTTGTACCCGTACCCGAATTTCGTTTAACTGGTCCAATACTGCAAAAAGTGGGTTGATTTTTTAATTGTTTTGCTTTAAATAAATTTAATAATTAAAATTATCAAAAATAATTATTGTCAGTGTGAGATTATAAAGCGGGAAGATGTTAACAACAAATAGAAAGAAGAAGCTACCAGGGCATTATTGGGGTACCACTGAGCTACTGGGGCATCGACTAATACTTTCTCTTTTTCCTTTTTGGATCGTTTAACCCTCGCCTAGGCGTTTTAAATGCTCTAGGTGAATATCCTTACAAATTTTATTTCTAAACTGTCTTTGAAACTGGGGTTTTATTATTGTCTCAAAATAAGAGCCAGACGAAAAATTTTTCTTAAGTTGCCCTGAAATTTGATCAACGCTCAGATTTTCTTCTTAAAAATCTTTCCTTTTTCAGATAGATTTAACACTTGCTTACCAACTTGGAGGAAGAAGATTAGCCCAAAGACTTAATTCGCCTTCAATTAAAATATTACCCCAACCTTCCCTTCGTTTACTAGCTTTTGGACAACCAACAATTCCAACTTCCTTACCTGGTTCTCCTCCTTTTAGTTTAATGTTTTCTGCTATAAATTCTGGATATTCAACATTAAAAATGGTTAAAGGAATTCTTTTTTCTTTTAAAAGAATTTTTTTAGGTTCAACTTCTTGAACTTCGACCAAATTTTTCTTTAATTGGAAACGAAAATAAACAGTCTTCAATTGATTTTAAAATTGATGGAATTAATTTGGAGAGTTTAAAAGAATCAGGGAATGAGGGAGAAGGAATGGCAGAATCTCTTTCTTTTGGACAAATTAAATCTGGGGAGGCTTCTCATTTATTTTTGAATATTTCTTTGGAATATAATGATGATGGACAATATAAAATTGAAGTAAAAATTAAGCTCCCTTCCTTACTTTAATTTATTTTTTAAATTAGAAATCAGCACTTTTTCGAAGCTTTTCTTCAGTTGTTTCTGTTGACGGTTCTCTCCTTCCTCCTGGACAATTTGAACAAAAATTCTTTTTAATTCACGAAACTACACATAATCATGCAATGTTAATTGTCTCGGAATATTCTAACCCCTTTCCTTTATATTTATTTTCCAAAAGACATAATTCATTAACTCCATTAACTACATTACAATTAATTGAAGTAAATATTTAATTTTATAAACAAAAAATGAGTTTGCAGGAAAAAGAATCTCGTCCACAAATAAATGGACATTCATTCCTTACACGCATTTTCGCTCTCCGTCGTCTTTCACTTATTTCAACATCCCAAGAAGATGAAAATTTAAGATCAAGTGTTGGTGCCATTTTTGCTTCAGTAAATGTTGGAACTGCGCAGACTTTTGAAAATGGGGCAAAACTTTTGAGAGTAGCAGAAATAGGTCCACAGGGAAGAAGGAGACCAATAAATATGAGTTTGGTTTGGATTGGAAGGATTAGTAATGAAAAGGTAGGTTTAAGAGGGAGAGAAGTATTTCACCGTTTAGAATAAAATAAGAACAATTATCAGTCCAAACTTTAAAGGACAAACCCTGACCCGAAATCCGACATGCCCTCCCCGGCAAACCCCGATCCCCGACACATCCTACCCCGAAGGTTCGGGGTGCTACCCTAGTCCAAACTTTAAAGGATGCCCAAATATCGTTCAAAAAAATTTTGTCGGTGAGGTGTCACTTACTCTCGAAAGAATTTTCTTTGAAAAATAATTTTAAAAAATTTATTTCAGACAACCCTAATTAATTTCATTGACTTGCGTGCTTCTCCAGCCATTCCCCAACTTATTTATGAATTATTATTTGGTTTACCCGAACATTTTAATTTACCTTTCTTCTCTCAACCATTTTATCAATTAAATTTGGCTTTACCTGTTAAAACAAATGGAAAACAAAAAGTTTTGGCTAGAATGGAAGCTATATCTCCAACAAATAAACAAATAAAATATTCTTTATTAACCAAAGAAATGAATAGTACATTAAGTATTGTACCTTCAACAGGTGTTGTTTTTAAGAGGATTAAAGGGGTTCGGTCTCTTTCTCATTTTGGATTTGAAAGAAATTTAAATGCTTTCCAGAGAGGACATTTATTTCTGTTAAAAACCTCGATTCAGAATATACTTTTTTATAAAGAAGAGGTGGGTCGGAATTCCGATTTCCAACGTTTTTTCCTGCCAATTTCCGACTTTTGAGCCAGTTCCGATTTCCACCTTTGACTGTTTTGACCCACCTCTGATAAGGAAAAAAGAGATGATAGTTTTATATCGCCTTTTTGCATCAAAATAATCATATACTCCTTAGGTGATATTGTCTTGTCTGACGATTTACTAGAACCTTACGAATATTGTCTAAATGTTGTAGCTACAGATTCAGAAGGACAAAGTTCTCGAGTTCCATTTCAATTAAATATTTTAAAAAGAGAAAATGAAGGAATGACAGAAGAATGTCAATTATTTAATGAAGAAAGTAATAATCTTTACAATAATGAATTTAAACCTATAGAAAGGGAAGAAAAAGACTTTTATTTTACTTCAACTACAATTCAATTAACAAACAACGAAAAACTAACAACAATTCCTTTAATTATTTCATCAGAACCTTCCATCCCTGCTAAACCTATTTTTGTACATAAAATTGATGGTGATTCCACACTTTCTCCTTTAACAACATTAAAAGGGAAATTGGCAACTGTTGGGGATTCTCTTTTAGAGAAGGAATTGAAAGGAAATGAAACAGAAAATATATATTCTTTAGCTTCTACAAGTATTTTACCCCCTTTAGAAGAATCCCCTTTAAATAATCTTCGAACAGTACAACCACACAGATTTAGTACAAGACAACAATCGGGATCTCTTAAAATTGCTGGCCTTTCCGGAGGAGGTGTTGGAACAAGAATTGGACAAAACAATGTAGATAACTTTGATTATAAGGGTATTTGGATTAGAGATTGGCGTGGGACGGGATCCCCCAACTACAGTTGGGGCTAACAATTAAATCTATTATGTACATATAGTAGTTCAGTTTTAAATATTTTAAATTCAAAGGGACGCAAAATTAACGGATCAATGTCTGGAATTCAAAGAGAAAGTAAAAACGGAGATATGGCTAGCCAAGCAAGTGCAACAACTATGGCTGAAATGGCATGTCGACTTAGATCAACAAAACCTATTTGGGCTCTGATATGTGATATGGCAAAAACTGTATATCGTTCAACTATGATAAATGCTTAGAGAATAAATTTGTCTAGTGATAATCTTTTAAGTTTACATTTTTGTGTCCAACAGAATAAAAACAATATATTAAATTTAAATTCTAATTTTATAAAAAAATTTTTAAAATGCCTGTAATTTCAATTGCCGCCTTTCTTCTCTTTCATCGTAATATTCAACCCCCTCTTCATCATCTTCTTCCTCCTCACTTTCCAATTTAATATCCTCGCTCACTTCTTCATCCCAAGCATTTGGATAAAAAGGAATTGGAGTCGAAAACATTCTTGGATCATAAACAACATCAGCCAAAAATAGTCCATTTGGAGGGGCTAACTTCATCCCAATTTGATGATATTTTGTTGGGTCTGGGTCTTTAAGAAGAAATTCTGCAACAAATTTAGCGTGGTCTGTTTTACGAGCTGCTAGGGAAATTAGTGAAACCATACGGCGAATCTAAAAAATAAAAATTAGAAGAGGAAGAAATTAAATTCAACAAGAAAAGTGACTAATTTAAAATCGAAAAATCCGAGAAAGCATTTGTAATACAAAATATCAAGGGCGTAGCCAGGGGGTCGATTTAAAAGGTGGGGGGCTAAAATAGGGTATACGCCAAAAATACGGCGTTTTGAACGCAAATTGTGCTGTACAAATAATTTAATCTTTTCAACGCCACAGGTGAATTTTTTTTAATTTGGAGGTCGTAAGCGAAAAAATTTCATTTTTCTTATCATCTTTCTCATATTCGCTTCTCCCCAATTCAGAGGGAGGGGTGGGGCTATGGCCCTAGAAGCGCCCTTGCAAAATATCTAAATACCAAACTGTGTATAAATGAAATATTTTTTCAAAATTAATTCAAAACTTTCTCATTAAATTTAAATTCAAATATGTAAAAGGAAAAATCCCAACCTGTTGCCTCAAAAATCCATGGGCGACAAACTCAATATTAAAATATTCGGCATCCTCATCAGGTAGAAAATAAGGTTCTCCTTAAATTTAACAATTTATAAAAATCATAATTTAAAAAAAACCTCTATAAATTTGTAAAAGTCTCGGCCATCTTCTATCCGTTGTAGTTTTAAAATTTTTTCCTTTTAATCTGTCCCCCATTTTGTGAAAATAAAATGAAGCATAATTTAACCCCGGCCTTCTCAATATTGCACACATTTCATTAGCTTTTTCAACATTAAATGAAGGAGGTTGTGCCCAAGAATAATCAAATTCAGCTAAATCAATGAGTGATTGTTGGTCAGTTTGTCGACTTTTCAGATAAGCATCCATTGAATAAAAACGGCGAATTCGGTAAACATAACGCCTTAAAAATTTTTAAAAATATTTTTGAAAATTAAAATTGGAGGAATAAAAAATTTTTTTTTAATTTTTTACTCTTTTAATGTTTTCCATAATTTTTTGACTGTTAGATCTAGGGTTATTGGCGACCGTTTTAAAACCGGAATTTTTGAAATTTTTTGAAAAAAAATTAACCGTTTTAAAAACCGGAAATTTATGAAAATGAGTGATTTTATTTAAAATTCCCCAAAAAATAAACCGGTATGTCTAAAACTCAAAACCGAAAACGGCTTTCTAAAATTTAGATTAACCGAAAACCGGGGGTACAGGCTAATAACCGGTCGCCAACAACCCTATTAGATACCACTAAAATCAGTAAAGTTGGATTTTGAATACGTTAAGGAAAATTTGGAAAAAATGAAAAAGGGGAGACGAAAAAAGTTTAAAATAAAGAAAAAAAACCTGTAAGAGACATGAAAGTTAGGATTAAATCCTTTCGCCACGGGAGTAATTTCCAACAATTTCATTGAATGTTCAAAACCAACATTTTTAATTAAATCTTAAAAAATAATTTTTAACAAAATTTTTTTTATTAAAAATACCATTAAAATCATCAACAAATTTTGATCTAGAAATTGGATTTTGAATAATTATTGAAGTACGTTCATTTGGGGGTTTAACCAAAAATGGGCTACGCAAAGCATGTACTTTGGCATCTGTTCTGAAAAGAAAGATCTTTTTTAGTATTTTCTTTTTTATTTGATAAGTCTTGAATTATCCAAATTAGGTATGTATGGAATACAGGAAATATGTGTTCATCAATTTTTTTCAGTCTTTTTTGTTTGTTTTGTGAGTCCTTCGCACTTTTACAGCCAAAACACAAAATTAAAAAGGAATTCAGCAGCAACAGAACAAAACTATAACAATTTTTCACGTGTCGGGCTAACTCACGGAGCGGACAAGTCGCGGAATTACCAAATCACTGAACGACCAACTAACGGAATGACCAAAACACAGAATATTTTAAAAATCGGAATTTTTGAAAAATCTGAATAATTGTGAAAAATAAGAATTTTTTTAACAAATTAGAATATTTTAAAAAACAATTTTAAAAAATTCTGATTTCTAAAAATATTCTGATTTTTAAAATATTCCGAGTTTTAGTCATTACGTTAGTTGGTCATTTAGTGATTTGGTAATTCCTCGAGTTAGCCCCCACCCATTTTTCCAGAATATCCTCAAAAATAAAAATTTGTTACCTACTAACTGTAGTTGAACGAATTTTTGAACAATCTTCTTCAAATAATCTAGCCAAGCAAGATTCAAATAATTTGTAAACACTTGCTCCTGTATGTGGTGCTGCACCTTTTGCCATTGAAGAAAATCTAGAACCGTCATAACGAAGCCAAAATAAAAATTTACGAAAAACAATATCCCCTTGCATTAGAATTAAAAGTGCATCTTAAAAATATTTTTGGTACTACTGAAGAAAAGGGTGCTTTTTCTGCGGACTTATTTTGCGGACTTTTCCTTTCCTTCTTTTTCCCTTTTTTTAAAAGATAATGTTTTAGCTTGTAGCAAACTAACTGTCAAAGGATTAATTTTTATTCGCACAAATATTTTTGATTATTTGTTATTTGTGAAATTAAATGAAAAAAACAGTCATCTCCTCCAAATTTCTGTTTCCATACAAACTCATTCATATAACTTTCAAACGTTGTTTCAGCAGTACCAAATTCAGTTTTATGTCGTCTTTTCAATTTTTGCCATAGGATACATTATCTTAATAATAATTTGATAAAAAACAATTGAAAAATTGTACCTGTATGATTTGTGTCAAAGAAAGTTTTGAATTTTCGAAAAATGTTCCAACTAAAGCACCCTTTGTTTTTCTGCATACTGATTTCTTACATATCCATCTTCCATTTTGTCCACGCTTCTCTTTACGCATTTCTTTTCCACAATCACATGTTCTTTTTCTATGAAGCATTCCGAGATCAGTGATCCATTGTTGAAATTCATCATTGGGTAATTTAATTTTATCATACAATTTAGTTAAAGTAAAATTTTTTATTGATTGTAACATTTTTTTCGTTTATAATGTTTAAATTATTTGTGAACGACATTTTTCAGACCGGCATAAAAAATAATCCGTTGACTGTTAGTTGCTATAAGCAAAACATTTAAACAGAAATGAAAAAAATAAAATTAATCTTCTCTGTATCAATGTCTTTTGTTTGAATATGCCACACGGCAAATAGAGGAAAAGAGAAAGAAGAAAATCTGACCATTGTGTACAATCTTAGGTAAGAAAAATAATGGGGGGAGGGCCGTTGACAGTTAGTTGCTACAAGTAAAACATGTAAAGGAAAGGAAAAGTCCGCAAAATAAGTCCGCAGAAAAAGCACCCTTTTCTTCAGTAGTACCATATTTTTATTAAAATAATTTTAAAATACGTAAAATTATTTCGTCAGAAAATGGCAAGTATCAAGGACATAGCCAGGGGGTCAATTTCAGGGGATAAATTGTGTGTGCGCCAAAATGGCGTTTACTTTGGCGTTCCGAACGCAAATTTTTTTGCGGTTAAGGACGATCCAGTATAGCCGATTCAGTATATGGCCATAACTTTCCTGATATTCGACCGATTTGAATAATTCTCATATCATTCGAAAGGTCTCATGATTCGACATCTTTTTCATAATTGGCCCGATCTGATCTGATGATCACAAAAAAAGTTACAGCGTGAAAACCGATTCTTTATGCCTGTGACGTCGTTTATCAGTGATAACTTTTTGTAGAGTGATAAGATCAGGTCAGTCCAATTATGAAAAAGATGCAGCACCACGAGGCCTATCAAATCATATATAATAATTCCCACAATATTGATCGAGCAAAAAGTTATGGCCAAAAAAGCCAAATACTGAATCGGCCAATACTGAATCGGCGATACTGAATTGGCGATACTGAATCGGCGATACTGAATCGTCCCCTACCCATTTTTTTGTACATATTTTTATTTTGAATTTTTTTGATCTTGGAAGGCCAAGAATCCAAATTCTTAGAAGGCTAAAAATATCAACACAAAGAAAATTAAAAATAGAGATACTGGATATTTTAAAATATCTTTTCAACAAATATGTAAAATCTACTACATAAATACAAATAAAAATCCTTTATAAAAACAAAAAAGAAATATTAAGAATTAAATATTATGAATATAATTTTAATTTAATTATTTTCATCAATTTTTATCATTAATTTCAACTTCAATATTAAATTGTTCTCCAAATTCGCCTAATAAAGAATTAAAAGAATTGGCTGGATCAGTTTCCAAATGAGAGACCTTAAAATAAAAAAATTTTTTAAAATAATTTTTATTTAAATTATTCACTTCAACAGCATGAATAACAATTTTCTCAGGACGTTCAGATTCAGAATTTGTACGGTAAATGTGAATAAAAGTGGTAGATTTTGAGGTAATGAAGGCAAAAACAGGCTTTGCATAAAACAATTTTTTGTTTGTCGATTTTACTTTGATTGCCTATAAAATGGTGGGGTTTTTTAGAGAGATTTTATTAAAAACTAACAATTCTTTGTTCTCCCAAATTAGTAATTTCAATAAGTCTAAAGCCTCCTCCTTTAGTGTATTTTAATCGTTCGGGATATAAACTGAGTTTGATTGGTCTATTCTTGAATTTAATAGGTTCATTCACATAATTAAATCCCACAATTATTTCCGTACTGCAATCCGTCTTGGAATTTGTTCTGAAATTGACAAAAAGATATTTAGTTTTTAAAATTAAAAATCTCTCAACTAAGGTTAGCGGATAGTTTGGAAATCTTTGGATATCCGGATCCGATATCTGAACCGAAATTTCCGGATATCCAGCCGTTTTCGGATCCGGATCCGACAACCTTACCCTCAACAACGGTAGTAAGGTGTCTCTAAAACAAGTTCTCTCAGTTGTTTATGTACCATTCTTTACATCAACTTAAACACACCTACTAACAGAAGTACTTGTAAGAATCTGTTTTGAAGTCCCTTGCTCATTAAACAATCTCGTCGAACAATTTTCACATAATTTACAAGTACATACTATTCCTCTCTCAGATGCTGTATTTTTAGTATTTGATGGAAATAAATAACCATCACATCCTAGCCATGACATTAATTTTCGGAAACCCCAATCTCCTTGCATTTTTCCTTAAACTTTAGGCTCAAATTTTGTTTAACAAAGGAAGTAAAAATGAGATGTTAAACTCCAAAATAATTTCAAAAAAAAATAATTATTATATTATTTATTGAGAACAATATACATATATCACATATTCGAGCAATTCCTATACAATTTAAAAAGAAACAAGGAAACGAGTTATACATCACAATTTGTACATACCAACAACAAATAGGAAAATGAGTCGGGAAAATAGGGATGAATTCTATATATACATACAACAAGCATTGTGGATGAGTTTACGCAAGTTTTATATCTTTCTAGCTTCAGAGGATTGCTTCACACATCTTTTTATCTTCATGTTCTTCTAGACCATCGGTTTACGCGCTGCTGGTCCTTGGCTTGCTGAGCGGCGTCCCGCCGAGCTGCGGCTACCCTTCTTGCCATGGGATCGAGCACCTCTTTTCCCCCTCTTTGACTCGGTTCCTGCTTCAGGTCCGGCTCCTGCCTTCGAATCAGCTCCTTTCTTCTTGTCTCGCCTTCCCTTGGATGAAGCGCCCTTGGATGCTTTGGAGCGGCTAGAGCCTCCACCTCTCTTGCCCTTGGGTTTGCTGCTACTTTCGCTCTTTGCCATGCCTCCACTGTTGAACTCGATCCCGTAGTTTTCGCGCAGATAGGTGTTGGCGTACTAAAAAAGAGTAAAATATAATCAAGTAGACAAAAATAACAAAAGTTCTATAAACTTACAAAGCCGGAGACGAACATGATGATTGCGGCTAGCAAGTAAAGCCACGCTGACATCTTGACGAAGCTGTGTTGCTGACGATTTCTTCTGCGAAGACCGAAACTGGCGTGAAGAAGTGATGGGTGATCGTTCCTCTGCTAGAGATGATTTAGGGATTGTCTCGAAATTGTCTACTTTTATAGTCCAATAATGATGGTTCTAAAACCTAATTATAAAAACATTTTCCATGAGAACATAAATCTCTTCCTGTCCAAAAATCTCAAAGCAGCGTTCCAGTGTCAATTGCCAATAATGTTGTTGCAATCCAGCTCAAGTGGATGGTTCATTTGGTCTTCTCCTGGCGCAAACTTCTTTGTGATTGTTGTTCTTCTCTCTGTGCTATCAATTCACTCACTTCTCGACTGCTGTTGTTGCAAAAAGAAAAAGAAGGTAAAATTCTTTAGATGAATCGCGTTATAAATTTTTATCAAATTTAGAAGCGGCACGATAAAGTAATTGTGGTTGAGGAGAAAAAGGCATCAGGTCCAATTTTTTTGAAAATCATTAAATTTTATCTCCCCAATTTCCAGGCGATGAGCGTCCAAAAGCCGAATTAAAGTCAAAACCTAAATCTAAAGACAAAAAAGCATCTCAAAAGCCTAGCAAAGATTCGAAGCCATCGTCTAAATCACCGCCTAAAAAGAGCAAGGAACCGGCAAGTGAACCTAAATTGAAGAATGACCGCAAAGATCAGCAAGGAATGGGCACAGGTCTCGACTACCAAACACTTGGAAATTTGGATCGTAACATTTTTGTTAAAGGGAAGAAAGGTAAAAACAAGCAAAAAAACCTTAATAAAATTTCAATTTAAGGTGGTAGCAGTCCCAAAACCCAAGCTGGGGGTCCATTGCCAAAGCTAAAGGAAGAAGAACATGATGCTGGAATGGGAGGCGGTTCAGAATACAAAACACTTGGAAATTTAGACAAGAACATCTTTGCGAAAAACGAGAAAAAGGCAAAGCCTCTCCCAAAGCCGAAAACAAAGGACGAAAGAGATGATCAACAAGGCATTGGTGAAGGGGCTGACTATCAAACTCTGCAAAATCTCGATAAAAATATATTCGTCAAAAGCGAAATTAAAACAGATGAGAGCGAATACGATAAGAAGGTTAAAAAGAAGACAAAGAAAAAGATTGAAGAAGAAGATGATGATGAAGGAACGAAGAGTGAACATGACAGGAAAACGAAGAAAAAGGCTCCCGTGAAGAAGACAAAGCCTCAACAAAAGCCTAAAACAAAGGATGAGAGGGAAGATCAGCAAGGCCTAGGCGAAGGAGAAGATTACCAAACACTGCAAAATCTCGACAAAAATATATTCGACAAAAAAGGCAATCAAAGAGAGGAGACCGAGGAAGGGACGACAAGTGAACATGAGATCAAGAAGACGAAGAAAAAGAAGAAAGTGAAAAGTGAAGAGGACGTGAAAGGGAAGAAAAATAAAAAAGGACCAACTAAAGAAACTAAAAAAGCGGTAAAGAAGAAGCCAGTATCGGAGACGAGTCTTTCAAGGTGAAATAAAAATTGAATTAAGTATTAAACAATGGGGATGATTTTAGAATCCCTTTTGAAGGTAAATGTGAGAAATTTAGAGTTCCCCTTCCTTAGAGTTCCTTCTCCAGTCTTATGGGAGAACTCCAATTTTAGGAGGGAAGATAATCTTTGATTAATTTCCTTTTTGAACAGATCAGAAGTTAGTCCAGATACAAAGAAAACCAAAACTAGTGGCAAAGTCAAATCACGTCATAATAAGACTTATTCTTTGCATGGTCTAAGCGAGTTGGAATTAGATCCGGATTTGGAAGATGAAGAATAAATGAAAGGGATAAATAATAAATAGAATATATATTTGTGTTTTGTATTTAATTTGTTCCCATATATTAAAATCTTTTTCGATATATAAACTTTAAATAATTTTTTGTTTACCGTAAAAACTGTATTAACTACCCTGGGCTAATAGAGGTTATTTTAGAAAGGCCAATATAACTATTTTAAGGGAGTAATTATTGTTTCAACCTTTCGCTGAAGGGGGTA